CGCACCTCGAGACGACACGCCCCATGAGTGCGAGAGAGACAGAGCAACGAAAACGACTCTCGGAACGAGCAGACTGATTCGGACAGTTCTTTTCGTCGCGCTGTCTCTCTCGCACTGGTGGCGAGTCCCGTTCAGGTGCGAGAGAGACAGAGCGACGAAATCGTCTCTCGGCCTGATTCCGGGAGTCGAGAGAGAGAGATAAGGCGACGAAAGTGACTCTCGGAATCAGTCTGCTGCCATGTTTTCCAATGTACCTAAAGCGCTATGCTTGGCAGCCAGCACCACTTGGTGGGAATCAGTGCGCGTGTGCACGGCAGAAAAGGTCCTTTGTTTACTAAGCTACTAAAACTGGCATGGTTACGGCGCCACGCGCTTGGCAGGTGTATCGCAGGTCGACGCGGGTCGGTGCGGCAGGGATGCAACTTTGTTTATCAGTGCGATGTGGCCGTGGGAGGGAACCGTACGGCGCAACGCCACCCACACCAAGTCTCGAACACACTATCGAGAGTTTCGCTGCTACGACACTTTGGAAAGACACCCACAGACACTACAGTACCTCCGACTGGGCGATGGTATGACGGGGCCACTGCACTGAGTTCTACACGTCCGTTGTTGCCGACCGTCACAGGAGAAATGGTTCGGTACGCTAGCCGCAGACGAGGCTGGGAGGGGGTGGGGGTTAGGGAACGGCACTGCACTGCCAAGGCCGCCGTTGGCTGTCGCTGCCAGCTGTCCGCTTTGCCGTGCGTAACGATTCGGAAATGTACTGCTATACCGTGACTCGAGGTTTACAAGAGACGCTACGCAAGATGTCTTTGTACTCACCTTTGAATTTTGGAAGAAGGTGGGACAATTCCCACCGATCTAGGAGCGACGCAATCTCTTCGTGTACAGACATGTTGATGTTTCGTCGCCGCATCAAAACACTGCACTGGCGCAGGCCGGCACGAGCGGTCTCGCCGGGCCCGCCGGGCGCTGCGGGCGGCTTCGGCCGGCGTCGGGCTGCTTCGGGCGACCCGAAGGCAGCCGAACGTCGCCGCGCCGCGCCGCCAGCGTCGCCCGGGCAGGGGGAGGAGGAGAGGGAGGGGAAGGCGTTGTCTTGGAGCTCGAAACAAGACGGGCACGGTCTTGTTTTTGACGCGACTTGATTCTAGACTAAGTGACTTCAATCAAGTCTACAATTCAAGTCAAAAAATTCAAGTCTTTTACTAGACTTGTTTCAAGAAACCCTTTTTCTGGGTGTACCGATGGGGCGAATAAAATTTTTTAGTCGGTCGGTCCCCTTTTTTGAAGATTGAGTGGATTTTGTTGAATTTAGGCCTATTAAATCGTTTTTTGAGGATGTTGCCGGTGACGGGGACCCGATTGCGGCACAGTTTCGGAAATGTCTCGACCAGACATACCGATGGGGCGAATAAAAATTTTCAGTCGGTCGGTCCCCTTTTTTGAAGATTGAGTGGACTTTGATAAATTTAGGCCTATTTAATCGTTTTTGAGGATGTTGCCGGTGACGGGGACCCGATTGCGGCACAGTTTCGGAAATGTCTCGACCAGACCTACCGATGGGGCGAATAAAAATTTTTAGTCGGTCGGTCCCCTTTTTTGAAGATTGAGTGGGATTTTGTTGAATTTACCTATTAAATCGTTTTTTGAGGATGTTGCCGGTGACGGGGACCCGATTGCGGCACAGTTTCGGAATGTCTCGACAGACCTACCGATGGGGCGAATAAAAATTTTTAGTCGGTCAGTCCCCTTTTTTGAAGATTGAGTGGATTTTGTTGAATTTAGGCCTATTTAATCGTTTTTTGAGGATGTTGCCAGTGACGGAGACCGGATTGCGGCACAGATTCGGAAATGTCTCGAACAGACCTACCGATGGGGCGAATAAAAATTTTTAGTCGGTCGGTCCCCTTTTTTGAAGATTGAGTAGGTTTGCTCGGAAACGGTGAGAAATTTGTTCCCCTTTTTTGTAGATAAAGTAGGTTTTCTCGGAAACGGTGAGGAATTTTCAACTTTTGGGATTTTTCTCAATTTTCCCATAAAATTTGGAATTGAATTGAAAAAACCGCAAGTCTCTACGACCACTCCTTCACCCCAAACATTTCTATAAGTGAGTGAGTGAGTCAGTCAGTGAGTCAGTCGGATTGGGGCTTTATAGGTTCTTGATAAAAGGCATGACTGCGTTTCAGGTGCTATGGACCCTGAATTGCTAGAGCAGTAGTAAATAGACTTTTGCTCAGCTAAGCGAACGGCCGTCTAGTGTTGAGTTAAAAATCAGCCTGCACTCCGCTGGTAGCTGCAGGATGCGACATGTTTGCCCTGGTTCCGGCCTGGACCGAAGCCCGGGCCACCCGAGGGGTGTATGTTACTTGTCCGACCTCCCACTTGCCCGACCCTATTAAAAATAATCCCGTGGCAATATTTATATTGCTGGCCACTCGCTAGAAATATTCCCCTGCTGTCGAAGACAGTTGTCCGACCTACTGAGTTGTCCGACCTGCTGTTTAGTCATACCTCGGGGAGGGAGGGAGGGGGACGGCCCCGATGGGTTGCCTACCTCCAAGGCGGCCCTGCGGGTCCAGGGCGGGGGGCTTGGGAATAAGTGGGCTATGTCGCACCCAGCACAGTGGTAGGGTGCCTCCAGGGCGCCTCCAGGGTGCCTCCAGGGCGCCTCCAGGGTGCTTCCAGGGCGCCTCCAGGGCGCCTCCAGGGCGCCTCCAGGGCGCCTCCAGGGCGCCTCCAGGGCGCCTCCAGGGCGCCTCCAGGGCGCCTCCAGGGCGCCTCCAGGGCTCCTCCAGGCAGCCGGTAGAGGGTCCCCGGGACCCGGGGCAGGCCACCGAGACCACCAGGATCCCGGAGGCATCGTCGGGGTGACAGTTCAGCACGGCGCGGAGGCCACCATCGCCCACATGCTCGCCGCGGCGCGCACCTCCACTGTCGCCGTGACCGCCAGGTTGTCCCCCGGGGTCCGCGCAGCGCGCGGCACTCGGGGCCAGAGCACGCGGAAAGCGAACAAGAGGGAGCACAAGGCCAGGCTTCACCGAGTCCGTCGCACAGGAGCCACAGGACGCCGCCAGCGGGGCGCTGTACGCCGCGACCCCTCCAGGTAGGTGGGACAGCGGCATGCCTCGCTTCGGCTCGGCGCACTGCGCAGTCCGAGAGTCCGAGATCGGAGGTGCTTGGAGTCGGCCACAGTGCGGCCGGCCACGGCCTCGGACATGGTGACTCCGCCCCGTCGAACGAACAAAAGACGCGGTGCCACCACGCACCACGGCAGTACGGTGGGTTGCCTACCTCCACGGCGCGAGACGAAACGCCGCCAGGATGGCGAGTGTCTCTTGTCTACCCACCAATGCCCTGATGTGCATAAGTGCGTAAGTTTAGGTAGGCAACTCCAGAATGCGCTAGAGCCCAGCCAGGGCCAGGCCTTCCCTGCTGGGTAACTTTCTGTCCACTCAGTAGCACAAGAGTTTTATGATCGCTGTGAAAGAAAGTCCTTGCCCACATTAGTATTCATCACTGGCTGGGGTACCTGCCAAAAAGTTTGAATGTGTAAGGCTATGAGTAGAACCCACTGTAGACTTGTGTTCTGCAGCTGGCAGTTGACTTCGTATTTAAGTGTTTTTTTTTTCCGATCATGTGCAGGCCTTATGCTAATGAATGGGAAATTCTGGTACATGAAGAAAAAACCAACAGCCAGCCACTGTAGTAATCAGAAATAAGATTCTTTATTATAAACTATTTCAATCTGTTGACAGTAGAATAATTGTAATTACCTAAAGAAACAAGATAAGAAAAGAATCCGAGAGAGGCTGATCTTGTTCTGTTTGGGAACGGGGCTTGAAAGTAAGGCCAGTACAGGGAAATGCTTAGGAATTGGAATGTAGGGGAATGCTGGGGAAGGTAACAAATGGATGAAAGCAACATGTCTAAGCTAAAATAAAAATGCTGGGGAAGGGTTACACAAATGGATGGAAGCAACAAAACTGAGGCTCGGCACAAAATGTGAGACAGGGCTGCGGTTAGGAAAAGGGACACAAATAATTTTAAGAACAAGGAAAGGTGGGTCGTAAACAAAACAGGTATAGAAGTTGGAAAAGCAGGCAACGGGTGTAAAACGAATAGGCACACAATCAAAGCCTCACATGAAAGGCACACACAGCAATGCTTAACACAGGGAAAGGTTGACATAGATTGGTTTGAAGCACACCCAATAAAGCTGGACACAAATTGCAAGGCAACGCAGCCTTTCCGGCTGACAAAAATTGGGTGGAAGCACACACAATAAGCTCGACACAAATTGCAAGGCAACGCAGCCTTTCCGGCTGACAAAAATTGGGTGGAAGCACACCCAATAAAGCTCGACACAAATTGCAAGGCAACGCAGCCTTTCCGGCCGACAAAAATTGGGTGGAAGCACACCTAATAAAGCTCGACACAAATTGCAAGGCAACGCAGCCTTTCCGGCTGACAAAAATTGGGTGGAAGCACACCCAATAAAGCTCGACACAAATTGCAAGGCAACGCAGCCTTTTCCGCTGACAAAAATTGGGTGGAAGCACACCCAATAAAGCTCGACACAATTGCAAGGCAACGCAGCTTTCCGGCTGACAAAAATTGGGTGGAAGCACACCCAATAAAGCTCGACACAAATTGCAAGGCAACGCAGCCTTTCCGGCTGACAAAAGTTGGGTTGAAGCACACCCAATAAAGCTTGACACAAATTGTAAGGCAACGCAGGGAAAGGCTGACACAAATTGGTTTGAAGCGCACAGCAGGCAAAGGACGACAAAAATTGGGTGGAAGCACACACAGCAAACCTCAACAAAAACTGGTACGCAGGGAAGGAATCAGGAGTTGGAACAATGAAGGAGGGTTTTACATTAATTGCAATGGAGGTTTTTCTCAGAACACAAATACAGAAAGCTCACCATTCAGATTATTAACATTTGATGCAAAGTGGGTTTAATACGACGGATCCTCTCTTGAAAGACACTTACACCATAACCCCATCCAATACCTGGAAAGAGGGGCAAAAATGAATACAGAACTTGTTTTTCTTTTTTATGAGCAAACACTTGCAGTGAAACTGCAGGCACAAAATAAAAAATAAATCACAAAACAAAAAGTGAATACTGATCTGTTAGTCTACTGAGAGGCAATGTAGTCTACAGGCACTGTATATTTCTCTAATAGTCTATGATGTCACTTACCTGGCTTCACATTTGACAGACACTGTAATCAAGTCAATCCAGTTATTAAAAAAACGATTACTGGTTCAGGCGCAGGCGTAGAACTTCTAGGTGCACCCTACAAGTAGCAGTAATCTGTTGAAGAAGAATATTTATGATTTGAATCAAAAGCATCCACAAAAAAAATAAAACAAGCTTTAAAAAAAATTGCATGGATAGAGGAAAGAAAAAAGTCAATGCAGAAGATATGACAAATAAGGCAAACAAAAATATGATAGAGAAATAACGTACCACTTCAGGACTGTTCATGCCGCCAGTTTACGAAGGGCAGCTTCCATATTGGTTACCTAGTTTTGACTCGGTTTGGTTGCGGCTCATCATTCTCAAATTCGAGAGGCACAGCTCTACTTGCACCTAGAATCAAGAAATCAGAAAAGAAAATCTCCCATCTAGTCGAGTAGTAGATATATTCAAGACAGAACCACAATTAACCACAGAAAACACTCGAGCACACTCAAGAAAAGCTTTCAACTAAAAACAAAACTGAGTCTGAATGAAACACGGAAATAACAACGTTAATGAGGGAGCAGTTTAAAGAATAGAACCTAATGAACCTCTATATCTGAATATAATAATCTACATGAAAGCTACTAAAAACTAATGTACCTGCATCTTTTTAAAGTATCTGCTGAGGCAGTTTCCGATCTTCTTGTAAAGTTGGGGTGATTCTCAAGCTGCTTGATAAATTGGAAATCCTCACTGGCAGTCCCTCCATCCACTTTGTTTCCCAATTCAGTGGCAAGCACATAACTGTCCATGTCTTCAAGTACAGCAACCGATCCTGGTGCACTTTCTCGTAACCTTTCCTCAGAGCTACTCGATCAGCTTTGCAAATGGATGGCTAGAAAACAGACATCAGGAAATAAGAATAGTTATAGAATAACGCTTTAATTGGCTGTCGATGCAATTAAAAACACAACAAGGTTCCAGTCAAACCACAACACAAACTGTGGCTGTACCACTCTGACCAGATGATAGGTTACAATTAATGATAATAGCAGTATAAAAATCAGCGTTGCGACTGGGGAGGAAATTCAGTGCATTCCAATTGCAAGAATTTACGCCGGCAACAGGTGAACCGGCCGGCTTGCTTTATGTAAGCCTAGGCCAGGTTCTGCCAGAAACACACAACCAAGTACAGGTTAGGTTGCTAGGACACAACTTGCAGATAACGGCAAATTATCAGGATAATTTTTTTTCAACTGGAAAATTGATTGCGGAAAAATCCAAGCTACACGACATGTATTTTTAAAGATTTCAAGCTTTGTGCGTTTAACCTTTCTGTGGGCCAAGACGATACGGACACCGAACCAATTCAGACAACAAAATGATGAATATAGAAATTTATACGTTACCCTTCGATCCATTGCAAGCCTTGACAGGTTCCAATTGTTTGCGCAAACTAAAACTTTGTTAAATTATTCACTTATTTCTCCAGGAATGTTTGCTTTTCCGCTAGGGGAATACGGAATACGTTCGGTCGGATCGGCGTCGCCCGTGCTTCGCAGCCTATGACTCATCCTTTCTTTGTTCTCCCGTGCTCACATACCAACAATACAAGCCTAAAACACTGCTCTTCAATTATGGACGAGTTCTGAGTTTGAAACAATTTTAGTTATACGACATGGTATGGTAACATTAAAATATCTGTTTAAATCTGGAGTTAATGAAGCGTCCTCGCAGGTGCCTCGTATGTATGCAAGAAAGTTTTGCACAGTTAGCAACTCTATCGAGACATGCCGCGGAATTCAAATTCAATGGCCCCAATTCTTGCCTTATTTTTAACGCAGGCATGTTGCGTGCCTATAGAAATGAAAATTCAGCTGTAATAATTTTCTTCGTGGCACAAGGAATGCTCTTATCTATTATTTTTACATTTTCGCACCGTCTAGTGACAGAATGAAGTTACTCCTACTCATGCATTTTGAATTACGTGAGTTCCACCGCGTTCGGATCATGTGATCGTCCTAGCCAATCAGCGGTCTTTGGAACGGAGGTACTACTTTCTCAACCTGTAGACGACACAAGTTTTCGTTTTAACTTTTTCAATACAAAAAATAACACGAATCATCCCGCAATCTGCCAAAACCGTCTCCCTAATATTCTATAGTGCCGTGAACCGGTTCCTTTCCCATCAAAAACAAGTCACTTGACAGATACAAGCAATGCAGTTGAGCACCCGGTTCAGGCTGCAGGGTCCGGGTACTTCCCGCTGTTTGCAATGGGCCTGCAAGGCGAAAAGCAAAAATACCGATTTGTTGTATTGATGGAACGGTTTGACGGATGGGATTCATCTTCGAGAAAATGAAAGTTTAATGTAATGTGAGGGAGTTTTCAAAAACGCAGCTCGAAAGACATGATGAGAAGAAAGTTATTAAAGCTTGAAAATTCGGAGGTAGCGGGTACGTACGGCGCGCACCCGTTCCCAGCTCCTCGACCAGCGAGCCAGAATGCCCGCGTACGGTGGCGCGCAGGCGGGCACTTTTCTCATTCTCGTATCGTCCCACTCAATGTCGACTGAGACGTAGATACTTTTCCTCGAATCGTGCTAAAACTCGACCTGATGACGTTTCGTACAGAATAAAACACTTTTCTACTTCTTTTAGAAAATTCCATATAAGGGTACTGACTAAATAAATAATTTATTGGTGGACAATTTTTTTTTCGTATCAAGTTCATTTCTGAAAATCATTTTGTAAAACTGTTTTAAAATATCGCCGGGGCCATCCGCAAATTAGGGGACTTCGACATTTGGCCGTCGATATGGCCTACCCCAGACCAACTTTTCGCAGGCAACATCGGGCAGGCATTGGTCAAGTACCGGGCAACTGCCGGGCAACTACGGGCAACTGCCGGGCAACTACGGGCTACTGCCGAGCAACTCGGGGCAACTGCCGGGCAACCACCGGGCAACTCCGAGCAACTCCGAGCAACTGCCGGGCAACTACGGGCAACCACCGGGCAACTGCCGGGCAACTGCCGGGCAACTACCGGGCAACTGTGTGCCCGAGCACAGCTCGCGGGCAACTGAAGGAAGATGTCGGAAAACATCAGTTCAATACTAGGTCGGTTTTGACACCCCTTTTTAAAGGCGTAGCAAAAACATCCTAAAATCGACCTATTTTATTCTGCAGACCAGCCATTTTGAGTCTAAATCTATGACATATGGGTATCTTTCTTTTCATCTCGTTGAGATGAATCCATTTGCGACATCAGTTTTTCATTTCTACATATTTGATTTTTCACCTCTTTTCTGTCAATAGTACTTAAAATCTCCATTCAAGAAACGTTAAGCAGATGATACTCGTCTGGTACTGTCGTGTGCTATAGTTTTGACAGTATGCTCGCATGTCTGTGATTGTATAGAAAATTGTAAATAAGGGTTAGAACATATATGATTGGGGAGTGAGTGTCGATGTTGGTCCTTGCCGCGCGGGGCCGAGCCGAGGAGACGGTGCCATTGTTTACGCCCGGTGCGGCTGGCGCTGTACCTGGGGGAGGAGTTATCGATGTTTCGCGCACATTGTTGACCGTGCACCAAGCACTCACTGTCCCGCTCTCGAGTAAAAGCTAGCTGACACCTTTAAGGGGGCAGTAGCGTCATTTGCACGTGTTTTGACGATTTTCGAACCTCCTGTTTAGACGTTAATATAAAGATAAGTATGAATGCCAGAGACAAACGGCAGGCACCATTTGAAAGATAAAAGTTTTTACAACATTTTAAAAAAAAATATTTTGTTTTAGCATTGACTTAGGTTGTTTTGTGTTCTATGCAAAAATGGTCTGCAAAATTACATGGTGTCACTGCGCGCACGATTGCAGCCAAAGTTTTTAACTTTTTACCAATCGGTAAAATGCATCTGAAAAGCATGAATTGCCCATAAAATGACCCTTGGGTTTCAATATTGGCAAGAAAAACTATTGAAACGCTCATCTTCAACTTAAGATGGAAACGAACCACATTTTTTCTGGCCCAATATTAAAACCAGGGTCATTTTATGGGCAATTTCATGCTTTTTCAGATGCATTTTACCGATTGGTAAAAGTTAAAAACTTTGGCTGCAATCGTGCGCGCAGTGAAACCATGTAATTTTGCAGACCATTTTTGCATATAACACAAAACATCCTAATTCAATGCTAAAACAAAATATTTTTTTTTTGCAAATGTTGTAAAAACTTTTATCTTTCAAATGGTGCCTGCCGTTTGCCTCTGGCAGTCATACTTATCTTTATATTAACGTCTAAACAGGAGGTTCGAAAATCGTCAAAACACGTGCAAAAGACGCTACTGCCCCCTTAAGTGTCTTGTATTGTTCTAAGTAGTTTTGAAGTAGTAAAGGTATCGTTTGCTAAAAATACCGGACTACGAAGTTTGAGAGGATCTGAAAAGAGTATCATAAACCGTGCAGGAACCCGACCGCTACCTGCCTCGGACTCCTCAGGCCTCCGCGAATTCCCCCCCCCCCCCCCCCCCCCACTTCCCCTCTCCGATTCGTTATACCAGCCCGAAGGCATTCTTCGGGTCTTGGGGCCCCGTCATATTTAGGAAAAGGCTGAGAGTGTGTCCCGTAAGGGAGGGTGGGGCACAGTGACACTTTTTGGATTTTGGCACTCACTCCGATACTGTGCGAGAAATGAATCTGCTTACACCTCAGAAGGTTGCTTCAAACCTTCCTTGATCGCAAAAACGCGTTGTGGCGTTTTGGCAACACCTATTTCTATTATTTACATAGCTTCCCGCAGACCTCTGCACTTGTCACTTCAGATATAGAGGTTCATCAAGAACCTATAAAGCCCCAATCCGACTGACTCACTGACTCACTCATAGAAATGTTTGGGGTGAAGGAGTGGTCGTAGAGACTTGCGGTTTTTTCCATTCGATTCCAAATTTTATGGGAAAATTGGGAAAAATCCCAAAAGTTGAAAATTCCTTACCGTTTCCGAGAAAACCTACTTTATCTACAAAAAAGGGGAACAAATTTCTCACCGTTTCCGAGCAAACCTACTCAATCTTCAAAAAAGGGGACCGACCGACTAAAAAATTTTTTTTCGCCCTATCGGTAGGTCGGTCGAGACATTTCCGAATCTGTGCCGCAATCCGGTCTCCGTCACTGGCAACATCCTCAAAAAAAGATTAAATAGGCCTAAATTCAACAAAATCCACTCAATCTTCAAAAAAAGGGGGCCGACCGATTAAAATTTTTATTCGCCCCATCGGGAGGTCTGGTCGAGACATTTCCGAAACTGTGCCGCAATCGGGTCCCCGTCACCGGCAACATCCCCAAAAAACGATTAATAGGCCTAAATTCAACAAAATCCACTCAATCTTCAAAAAAAGGGGGCCGACCGACTAAAAATTTTTATTCGCCCCATCGGTAGGTCTTGTCGAGACATTTCCGAAACTGTGCCGCAATCGGTCCCCGTCACCGGCAACATCCTCAAAAACGATTAATAGGCCAAAATTCAACAAAATCCACTCAATCTTAAAAAAAGGGGACCGACCGACAAAAATTTTTTTATTCGCCCCATCGGTAGGTCTGGTCGAGACATTTCCGAAACTGTGCCGCAATCGGGTCCCCGTCCCCGGGCAACATCCTCAAAAACGTTTAAAATAGGCCAAAATTCAAAAAAATCCACTCAATCTTAAAAAAAGGGCACCGACCGACAAAAATTTTTGCTCGCCCCATCGGTGGGTCTGGTCGAGACATTTCCAAAACTGTGCCGCAATGGGGTCCTGGTCCCCGGGCAACATCCTAAAAACGATTAATGGGCCCTTTAATTTAACAAAGTCCACTCAATCTTCAAAAAGGGGACCGACCGACTAAAATTTTTTATTCGCCCATCGGTAGGTCTGGTCGAGACATTCCTGAAACTGTGCCGCAATCGGGTTCCCGTCACCGGCAACATCCTCAAAAACGTTTAAAATAGGCCTAAATTTATCAAAGTCCACTAAATCTCAAAAAAGGGGACCGACCGACTAAAAATTTTATTCGCCTCATCGGTGGTCTGGTCGAGCGGATT